CTCTCCTGCTAAACACTCTTGAATTGGGGAAAGCATCATCTATCTATTCAGTCATCTAACTCAGAAACCCAAGAATCACCCTCGATTCCTCACTTTCCCTTCTATCTAGATCCAGTCTGGAGTTGAGGACTGCCGGTTCTGTTTCTTTTCCATCTGTCATGATAACGCAGTGGAGTGCCTTCATTTCTGACCCCTCATCTCCTGGGAGTAGGCCCGTGGGTTCCCCCTGGGCTCCCTGCTTTAAACCTTGCACCCCTCTCATCTTCCAAGGCAATTCCTCAGCTGTTCAAGCCACTCCCATATACACAATCCTTACCGTGTCTAGACTCCTGCTTGGAAGCTGGGGCGTTCTCACTGCCCTCGCTGAGCCGTGCCTTCCCCTTAGGTTCCTGTGGTGGGAGCGTTGGCAGTGACTTCTGCTCACACTCTCCCCGCGGCCTAGAGAATTGCCCCTTCCCTTATTCTCCTTCCAACACTATCCTGGGCCTGCTGAGTTGCTACTCACGCGAGGTTTATTGGCACCACAAGCCCCATAATTGAGAAACAACAGTCCCCAGCTGCATACCTCCCCCGCGGAAACTACATTTCACTTTTTATCTGGCCTGCTGCTGGTCTCTGCCTCCATGCTTCTAAATACATCATCGTGAGGCTCCTTCCTTCTCTTCCTAAGCAGATGTCTCGGAAGAAGAGGCTGTACTTACTTTCCACCTCCCTCATCTCAATTCACTCTTTAACTCGCTACAACTGAAGGAGTAAATCCAGAAAATGATGGCATTGACTTGGGGAAATAGGGAACCCAAAGTTGGAGAGAGGAAAGCAGTTCCCAAGGTGACGATGAAAGAAGTCTTTGTCCACAGCCATACAGGGGCCTGGAGAACTCGTGGTCCACACGGGAGCGGGAAGATAAGGGGCTTTCCAAAGTTGTAAAATAATGGTAATTAACCATGATATACAACTGACTCAGCTGAAACGAATACACAAAATGCCATATCATATAAATACTGATTACAGGTTTGCTTTTTAATGTTGCCCTAGGCCTAACTTGAAAGAATGAATAGAAGGGTGGGGGGTGGGGCGGGCGGGGCAGGGGGGCATGGGAAGGCCAAACTTTGTTTCTTTTTTTTTTTCTTTTTTTGAGACGGAGTCTCTCTCTGTCGCCCGTGCTGGAGTGCAGAGGCGCTATCTCGGCTCACTACAACCTCTGCCTCCCGGGTTCACATCATTCTCCTGCCTCAGCCTCTTGAGTAGCTGGGACTACAGGCGTGCGCCACCACGTTCGGCTAATTTTTGTATTTTTAGTAGAGCTGGGGTTTCGCCAGGCTGGTTCCGAACTCCTGATCTCAGGTGATCCAACCACCTCAACCTCCCAAAGTGCTGGGATTACAGGCATGAGCCACCATGCCCAGCCCACTCTTCTGTTTTCTAGGAAGTCAGTGGATTGTCCACCGTTCTCTCTGTCTCTCCTGTGCTGGAGCATTGCGCTGGATCCTGTGTCTTAATCTTCTCGATTTCCTCTCTAGTTTTGGTGGAGCTTGTCTTGAAGTAGTTTCCTAAGAAAAGATACAGGGGAGATAGAGTTTGTTAGGCCATGCGTGTCTGAAAAATCTTAATTCGGCATTTTTCTTTTTCTATTTTTCTTTTGAGACAGGGTCTCCATTGCCCAGGCCAGAGTGCAGTGGCGCGGTCATAGTTCACTGCAACCTTGAACTAGGAGGCTGAAGCGATCCTCCCACCTCGGCCTCTAGAGTAACTGGGACCACAGGCACTCGCCACCATCCACAAAAATCATAATTCTGTCATGCTGAATTGCTAGTTTGACTAAATGTGGACTTCTTGATTAAAACCCATTTTCCCTCAGAATTTTGGAGGCATTGCTACATTCTCATTTTCTTGTTTTGCTGTTGGTAAACTCAGTGTCCTTGCTGACCTGTTTTTCTGCTCTCTGGAACGTTCTGGAACCATTGTCTGGAAGTTTCACGACTATGCCGTGGACCTCTTCTCATTCAGCATGGTGGGCATTGGGGATGAACCCTCTTTTTTTTTTTTGAGACGGAAACTCACTCTGTCGCCCAGGCTGGAGTGCAGTGGTGTGATCTCGGCTCACTGCAACCTCCGCCTCCCAGGTTCAAGCAATTCTCCTGCCTCGGCCTCCCAAGTAGCTGGGATTACTGTCATGCGCATCATGCCTGGCAAATTTTTGTATTTTTAGTAGAGACAGGGTTTCACTGTGTTGGCCAGGCTGATCTGGAACTCTTGACCTCAAGTGAACCGCCTGCCTCGGCCTCCCCAAATGCTGGGATTACAGGCATGAGCCACTGTGCCTGGCCAAGGCATGAATTCTTTCAATCTAGAAACTCGAATCCTTTGATTCTGGAAATGTTTCTCATAATATTTGTTTAATAATTTACCCCCCTTCCTTCACTGTATTTCTCTTTCTGGTACTTTTACTAGTCAGTTTCTTTTTGGGTTGGTCTCTCTCTTTTATCTTTTATTGGCCAAGCCCTGATCTAAGGCACTAAGGTGTAGAGGTGATTGAGTCCTGACCAGAGCCTTAAAGGTCTAGATTTATGTAAATGATGGAGCTGTACACGTTACTTTATTTATAGCAAGATATTGTAAAGATTTTGAAATGTCAAGATTATTAAATTCATAGTTTACTGTAACCTCGAACTCCTGGGCTCAAGCAATCCTCCCACCTCAGCCTCCGGAGTAACTGGGACTACAGGCACATCCCACCATGCCCAGCTAATTTTTGTATTTTTTTGTAGAGACGGGGTTTCACCATGTTGCCTAGGCTTGTCTCGAACTCCTGGACTCAAGCAGTCCTCCTGCCTTGACCTCCCAAAGGGTGGGGATTACAAGCACTGAGCCACTGCACCTGGTCAGTATATTTTTAAACATGGTCTTAGGGTATCAGCAAGCTGCAGATTTGATAACAGTTGGGTCTTTTTATTTAGTAACCACCCTTCTTTCCTCCTCTGTACTCTCACACAGTATTTAAATACCTTCTATTAAATCTCTATTATCCTCTTCTCTTCCTGTTGCATTTTTCTCCCACACTTAAGTCTCAAATCTAAGCAGTGAACATATAAGGTTTCCAATAAGCTAAGACAGTGTCTATCCATGGACAGGTTCGTGACAAACCCATGTGGGTCCCTGGCTTGCTGAAACCAGGTTTCACATGAGGGGAGGAAGTGGGTTGACAAGAAGGGGGTTGCTAAGGGAACTTTATTACTCATTTCTCTTGGAAAAATGCAGAAGGAACAAATGGAATAAAAGTCTGATAATTTGGCAGACATGCTTTGCAGTTACTTGCAATACTGTACTTAGGTTCAAAATAAGGAACTAAGTAACAATCATTGATGCTGAATCGCTTCAGAATTAAGCTGATGGTGACAATAAACTGTCCCGGATGACTGCTGTATACACAGGTATTGTATGAGGGTGCAACTGGATTAAGTCATTCTGAACTGAATTTTGCATAATTATTACCAAAATTTGGATTCAAATGTAGGTTTACAGTTGGTATTCCTATTTAATTTTAGTTTTTGTCAAAATAATATACGCACATAATTATAAAATCAACTAAGTTCTTCAAATACTCATAAATCAAAACAGCACTCCGCCTCCACCAGTCTCGTTCTCCAAAGGGAAACACATTCAGCTCTTGTTTTTTTTCTTGTTGTTTTGGGTTTTTTTGCGGTTTTTTGTTTTGTTTTGTTTTTGTTTTGAGACAGAGTTTTGCTCTTGTCGCCCAGGCTTGAATTCCTGGGCTCAAGTGATCCTGCCCTTTTGGCCTCCCAAAGTGCAAGGGATTACAGGTGTGAGCCACCACACTAGCCTTCAAGGGCAGTTCTGATGCCTAACACCCACTGATCCGGCTCAACAATATTGGATCACTTAAGGTCAGGAGTTCAAGACCAGCCTGGCCAACAGGGTGAAACCCTGTCTCTACTAAAAATACAAAAATTAGCCTGGCATGGTGGCATGTGCCTGTAATCCCAGCTATTTGGGAGGCTGAGGTACGAGAATCGCTTGAACCTGGGAGGTGGAGGCTGCAGTGAGCCAAGATTGTGCGGCTGCACTCTAACCTGGGTGACGAAGTGAAACTCTGTCTCCAAAAAAAAAAGTCTCCGATGCCTTCTGGCCTTCAAGTGGACATTGGCATATAAAGCTTATGAACACCTTCACCCTTGCAAGGAGGAGGATACGGAATCTTCACATTCTGCTGCATGGCACCAATTGTGCTGTTTTAACAACAATGACTGTGCAGAAATGAAGCCAGTGCTTTTTTCCTCCAAGCCTTTGGACAAAGCATGTTTTATGACAAAAATAATCCCTCTGGCTCACATGTCCTCTCAGGCTTCCCACTGCTCTCCCACACAGCCTCTCGCTCCAAGAAGCGAGTCCCCTCCCGCTAATGACAATCCTTTGGGCAGACCCAGAACTTGTTTCCAGAGACTGAAATAACATTTCCAACGGGGCGGTGCCACCAGATTTGCTGAGCTGTTTGGTGGCCCGTAGTGAGCTGATCTGTGCTGGATAAATTATCTTCCCTGGGCGTGACGGGAACGAGAGGCTCAAGGCAGAACTTCTTTTTGAGACAAACGAATTTGGAAATATTAGATAAGGAGGAAATAGTGATATAACTTGTTTTTTCCAGTACTGAAAGATGCCACCTCTGTACTTAACTACGTAGAGTAAGAAACATTCAGGAAAGTATATATTTTTATAGCATTGAAGTTAACCATTGAAGAGGGATTTATTAAGTGCTTAATTAGGCAGTATGAGAATTTGTTTAAAGTATTAAATACCCCAAAATCCTATTCAAAAAGCCACAAATATGATTCTAAAATATGTAAACAACAATGCTAGTAAACAAATGAAGGTATCATGTAATTTGGCCCAAGAAACCCACACATTCAGAGCTTAGAGAAAATATATTATTTTTTCCCCCTTTCTGGCTTTTACAGCCTTATTAAAACAAAACAAAAAAAATCTGGTGACTGAGGATTCAAATTTAAAAAAAAAAAAAAATGAAAGAAAAAACTTTTAATTCCAAAGCATGAACCCCTCACTGAAGCCACTGAACACTGTCATCCACACCAAAACTTCAAAAGTTAACACTGGCTCGCACAGTTTGTCCCATCCTTGAGCGGCAGAGCGACTCACCGTTTGCAGCCAGGCCTGGACGGCACCGCTGCTCCTAAGTCCCTCAGCCTTCAGGTCTCAGTCTACCCAGCCAGAGACGACCGCTGTGTGTCCTCCGTCAGACAGCAAAGCCACGACTTTGTGCCCACCTACAGAACCTCAGTTAATCTTGGGAATCTGAAATCATTCATTTTATTTAGCAAAGTGTTTTCAGTTCCTTCAGGATTGTGCTTGTCTAAACCATCTGCTCTGAGTGAGTTGTAAGGACTCAGGTATGAAGCACCTTAAATATCCCAGGCTCAGGGGGTTTTGAACAGGCCCTGCAGGCTGGCAGAGGCCCTCTCCTCCTCCCCAGACAGCAGCGCCGTGGACCTCGCTGAGCTGGTGACCCATCGTCATTCCCAGCTCTTCTCCGGGAAACCCCTTCTGTAAGAAACAACTTTCTCACTTCCCCAGCACCTAAGTGCCATCATTCTGTCTGATGAGATGAAAGTGGAAATATCTCCATCTTCTGGGGAAAGCTTTCATTTTCTTGGTAAAACGAAAAACGCTGCTGCTGCGACTTCTGTGTCCCCGGCTTCAACCTTGAACTGGGGCCCGGTGCCTGAAGATACAGGGGAGGGCTCAGACCGTGAGCAACTCCAGCTCACTGCAGTGGGTGGAATAGAACATTATCCGGCCTCTGCACCAGTCCCGGACTGCTCACCCTGACTTCTACAAGAAAAAGAAATCCCTTTTTGGTAAGTCACAGTAAGTTGGGGTTTCTGTTACTTAAAAATAGACGTATACCTGCCGGGCGCAGTGGCTCATGCCTGTAGTCCCAGCACTTTGGGAGGCCGAGGCGGGCGAATCACTTGAGGTTGGGAGTTCAAGACCAGCCTGGCCAACATGGAGAAACCCTGTCTCTATTAAAAATACAAAATTAGCCAGGCGTGGTCGCACATGCCTGTAATCCCAGCTACTCGGGAGACTGAGGCATGAGAATCGCTTGAACCCAGGAGGCAGAGGTTGCAGTGAGCCAAGATTGCACCATTGCACTCTAGCCTGGGCAGCAAGAGTGAAACTCCATCTCAAAAACAAACAAAAAACAGACCTACACCTAGCGGATAGGGAATTTGGTATCTGAAAGCCAGTGGCGCCAGGAAACAGACACTAATGTATGGCGTTGCCTAAGAGGAGGTCCAGTGGTGGGGCGGGGACCCAACTCCTTCAGCCTGGAAAATCAGGGTCCTACTTGGTGGTAAATGATCAGTTGCATGCTCACCTGTTGTGAGACCTAGACACTAAAGCTGTAGCATAAAACAGTGGTTCCCAAACCTTTATGCAGCAGGGACCAATTTTGTAGAAGACAGTTTTCCACGTGCCGGGGTTGAGGGATGGTCTGAGGATGATTCAGGTGCATTACATTTATTGTGCACTTTATTTCTATTATTATTACATTGTAATATGCAATGAAATAATTAAACAACTCACCATAATGTAGAATCAATGGCAGCCCTGAGCTTGTTTTCCTGCAACTAGGGCCAGCCTCCAGGAGACAGAAGAGGAGATAGGCAGGTCACCAGGGCCACCCTCTGGGAGAGGGAAGGTGTTAGGTTGGATGAAGTGTGGAGAGAAGGCCTTTGCTGTGGCTGCTCAAGCATGCGACCAAATAGAATAGACCAGGAATTTACAACTGTGTAAGGTAATTACATTGTCCCAGAAACCAAAGGGTGCAGTGGCTCACTCCTATAATCCCAGCACCTTGGGAGACCAAGGTGGGAGGATCACTTGAGCCCAGGAGTTTGAAACCAGCCTGAGCAACATGGTGAGAGCCCATCTCTAAAAAAAAAATAAAATTAACTGGGTACAGTGGCACGTGCCTGCTGTGGTCCCAGCTACGCAGGAGGCTGAGGTGGGAGGATCACCTGAGCCCCGGAGGTCGAGACTGTAGTGAGCTATGATTGCACTGCTGCACTCCAGCCTGGCCAACAGAGTGACAGCCTATCTCAAAAACAGCAACAAAGAAGCCCTCAGGCTGGCTAGCAGTAACCCCTGTCTGTTCAGGCCATGAAGCCATCTGCAGCTCCTGAACCCATACTCAGAAATGAATCGCAAAGCCCTACGTTCTCCATCAAGCATGTCCTGCCCTGGGCCCTCCTTAGATGAGGCCGTGGAGGACGCTCCCAGAGACCGTGGAAGTCAGTCGGAAGGTCTGACACGAGGTGCCAGGCTGGCTCACCGGGGAGCTCGTTCTATCGCCAGGGCAGGGAGACCTCACTGCTCCTTTCAGCGGGATCTTGTGTGTGACTCGTTTTGTCTTCCCATCCTCTGAGTTTCTGAAGGGGGATTTTTATTGCAATGATCTGTTTCCTCTTCCACCATTCCTTATTCGATGTGTTGATGGTGGACTACTTGTCTTTGGGCTATAGCTGGTGGGATCACGAGGAACTCCCTCTGGACCCCAAGGGGACACCTGCATGTCATCTGGAGACGCAGGACTCAGGCAGTCAGATGCCACGGCTCAGGTGGTCTTGAGGGTGGTCCTCCAAGCCTTTGGCGGGGGCAGTGTGTGATCTAGAAAGAGGTGCACTGGGGCTGACCTGGGAAAAGTCCAATCCGATTCTCATTCCCAAACCCTTTCTTGTATTTAACTTTTCAAAAACATTCCAGTTGCTGTCTCTCTCTCAGCACCACTTTGCAGCTAATCAAGAAGACATAAGCAGACATCCACTGGGGGCGGGGAGGGGGTTCTGGGAGTGCCTAGCCTTCCGGATTAAAGAGACATATGCTGCTCCCCAGATCCCAAATGCAGCGTGATGCCTGCCACTACCACAGCCTTGGGGAAGAGGGTGCGGGAGCTACAGAGGCTGTCCTTGACATGATTCAGCCTCCAAAGCAGGATTAACTGCTGCTGCCTCCAGACCTTCCTGTTTTGTGAGAAAAACAAATCCCAATGTGTTTAAGCCTCCGTGAGTCAGGTTCTCATTTACATGTAGCCGAAAGCATTTCTGAAGTGTGCAAACACACTCAAGAGATAAGATTCTAACCCATCAGCAAAAACCATCAGGTGAAGTTGATGAACCTGTTTCAGTCAACACTGGTTTCAACTTAGTGATCTTCCCAGGGGGTGAGATTTGGGGTGCACTGAGGTGGCCTCCCTATCCAAAATAATTCCAGCAGTCCTGTTATTGATGCCTGAACTTCTACATGCAGAGTCACTCACAGTCTGTGTGGTATCTACACACACTCACACACAGCCATTAGGAGGGGCCTGGACAGCCAGGGGTGAGGACGGCAGCACGAGAGCTTGGGACAGAAAGCTGGGCTGTAGTTTCACGCATTGCAGATCCTATATCCCAGAAGCCATTTCTTTTTCTTTTTCTTTCTTTTTTTGTTTTGTTTTGTTGTTTGTTTGTTTGGTTTGGTTTTTTGTTTTTCTTTTCTGAGTCAGAGTCTTGTCCTGTCACCTAGGCTGGAGTACAATGGCACGATCTCAGCTCACTGCAACCTCTGCCTCTCTGGTTCAAGTGATTCTCCAGCCTCAGCCTCCCAAGTAGCTGGGATTACAGGTGTGCACCACCATACCTGGCTAATTTTTGTATTTTTAGTAGACACAGGATTTCGCCATGTTGGCCAGGCTGGTCTTGAACTCCTGACCTCAGGTGATCTGCCTGCCTCGGCCTCCCAAAGTGTTGGAACTATAGGTGTGAGCCACCATGCCCGTTACAAATCTATTTGTAACAGATTTCACTTTCAGAAAATTTCTCCATATAATCCAAATCTTTCATTTTCCAGTACAGACCTCTTTCCTCTTAGCATTCTGTTCTTGATGACTTAGAAGTGTCTTTTCTCTTTATATCATTTGCACGTCACTCCTTCTTGTCTCCGGCTTCTTCCCAGCCCTCCTCCTCCTTTGCACACAGGAAACCTCATTCTGTGGTGTGAACAGGGGGATTCCCATCTTCCGGAAACGACTTAGTCTTGAGCTGCCTGTGCCCTTCCCATCGCAGTGAATGTTGCCAGTTGGGGATGACTGGGCAGCCACGGGGAAGGTGAGCAGAGGGCAGAGGAGTCCAAGCCCCTGAGGTGAGGGTGGGAGCAAGGAGGGCTGCAGGTTCAGCTGCTGGGGCAGGAGGAGGAGAGCTGGGGGAGTGTGTGTGTGTGAGAGTGTGTGTGTGAGAGAGAGTGTGTGTGTGAGTGAGTGTGTGTGTGTGTGTGTGTGTGAGAGTGTGTGTGTGAGTGTGTGTGTGAGTGTGTGTGTGAGTGAGAGTGTGTGTGTGAGTGTGAGAGTGTGAGTGTGTGTGAGAGAGTGTGTGAGTGTGAGAGTGTGTGAGTGTGTGAGAGTGTGTGTGAGTGTGTGTGTGAGAGTGTGTGAGAGTGTGTGAGAGAGAGCGTGTGTGTGAGAGAGAGTGTGTGTGTGAGGGAGTGTGTGTGTGTGAGAGAGAGTGTGTGTGTGTGTGGTGGGGTCAGTGGGGAGCGGGGGAGTCTTTTATCTTTACCACTTGTTTGCCTGATTAGCCTGCTTTTCTCGGTTTCTAGGGAAAGAGCAAAAAAATTTTTTTCTTTCTCTGAGACAGGGAGTAAAGCACGTGGCATCAAGAGTGCAGCAGAGAGCCAGGCGCAGTGGTTTATTCACGCCTGTGAACCCAGCACTTTGGGAGTCTGAGGGCAGGGTGGGGGGGGGGGGGGATCACCTGAGGTCAGGAGTTCGAGACCAGCCTGGCCAACATGGGGAAACCTCATCTCTACTAAAAATACCAAATTAGCCAGGCGTCGTGGCACCTGCCTGTGATCCCAGCTACTCGGGAGGCTGAGGCAGGAGAATCACTTGAACCTGGGAGGCGGAGGTTGCAGTGAGCTGAGATTACGCCATTGCATTCCAGCCTGAGCAACAAGAGTGAAACTCTGTCTCAAAAAAAGAAAAAGTAAAGAAAAGAAAAGAAAAAAAAAGATTGCAACAGAAGCGCAGGGCACCCTGCGGATCCCTGCAGCCTCTCACCTTCAACCTCTGTGCTGGGATCCAACAATTCCCTTCCCATTTGACTGTCAGATCAGAAGGGTCTTTGCTAATTTCAGTCTAAATCGGGAGAAAGCTGACCTCGATTTAGCTGGAATGACAGTGATGACTAATTTGTACACCGGATTTAATAAAGCTAGCTCTTCCCCCATGGGCAGAGAAAGATGATGTGGGTTTCTCGCATCTGCACTAACTGAGATTGCTTTCTGGCAAGGGTAGAGAAACGCTAATTCTCCACACTCCCAGGAGGGGGTTCTGCCGACAGCTCCTGGACTGTCACCTGAATTGGGGTGTGACTGGGCCAGGGATGTCCCAAGCCAACCAGCCAGGCACTTGCACAGGTGGGCTCTTGACCCTTTGAGGCCACTGTGGTCTTTGAAGGAAAGTCAGTAGGTCTGGAAAGTAGAGTGGTGGGGACCCCTTCCCCGTTGGGGGCCAGGAGCTCCTGTTGTAAGAGCTCCAACAGGCCTCCGTATTTTCTGTCCCTTTTACAGGCAAGAATTCAATTCTGGGTCCTGAGCAGGGGTTGTCCTGGTCAACAAGCAACTTCAGTTCCTTGGGACAGGACCCCAGACTTGCTGGTATGACGTCATTGTTTCTTTACTGGGTAAGTCTCTCTTAACCCTGGAAAAGTCTGTTTACACAGAGAAGCATGAAACAAACTCTTATTTTTGATATTTTGGGGTTACGTTTAGGTGATCTGTACGTATTTGATATCTTAAGAAGTTGCTGTTTTAAGAGAATGTGGCATATTTTAACTTGTAATTTTAAATGCAATGAATGGACCGGCCTCTTGATTACAACTAAAAATATGTAATTGGGTAATTGATGTAGATTTGTTATTTAAATTCAGATATTCAATGCCAGTTTATTAAGATTGTAGGCAGTATGGGAACATTTAAGAAAACCAGAGGTTCGCCATAGTTAGTTGTTAAGCACTTGAGAATGCTTGTGAGTAAATTGAAGTATTTAAAAGTATAAAGTATTAATATTGTAAGTGCAGTTTAAAAATTTTAAGGCAGCAGGTGCAGTGGCTCATGCCTATAATCCTAGCACTTTGGGAGGCTGAGGCGGGTGGATTGCCTGAGCTCAGGAGTTCGAGACCAGCCTGGGCAACATGGTGAAACCCTGTCTCCACTAAAATACAAAAAATTAGCCAGGCATAGTGGTGCGTGACTATAGTCCCAGCTACTTGGGAGGCTGAGACAGGAAAATCGCTTGGACCCAGGAGGTGGAGGTTGCAGTGAGCAGAGATCGCGCCACTGCATTCTAGCCTGGGTGACAGAGCAAGACTCTGTCTTAAAAAAAAAAAAAAAAAAAATTCAAGGACATTTAAATAAGTAAATTTCTGAATAGGAACAGTCATCAAAGTTTTCCTTAACAATGGCGGTTCAATGTTTTCTGTATTATAAAATAAAGTTATACATGGGTGGAGCTGGAGGCCATTATCCTAAGCGAACTAACACAAGAACAGAAAACCAGATACCGCATGTTCTTGCTTATCAATGGGAGCTAAACACTGAGGACACAAGGACACAAAGGAGGGAACAACAGATACTGGGGCCTCTTTGAGGGTGGAGGGTGGGAGGAGGGTGAGGACCAGAAAGCTGCCTATCAGCCAGGCGCGGCGGCTCACACCTGTCATCCCAGCACTTTGGAAGGCTGAGGCGGGCAGACCACTTGAGCTCAGGAGTTTGAGACCAGCCTGGGCAACATACTGAAACCCCATCTCTACAAAAACTTAAAATTAGCCAGATGTGATAGTGCATGCCCGTGACCCCAGCTATTAGGGAGGCTGAGGTGGGAGGATTGCCTGCGGTAGAGGCTGCAGTGAGCTGTGATCATGACACTGCACTCCAGCCTGGGTGACAGAGCAAAACCCTGCCTCAAATTAAATAATAATAATAATAATAATAATAAAGAAGGCTACCTATTGGGTACTATGCTTATAATTTAGGTAACAAAATAATCTCTACACCAAACCTCTGTGACATATAATTTACCTACATAACAAATCTGCACGTGTATCCCTGAACCTAAAAAAAAAGTTAAAAGTAAATAAATGTAGGAGTGCAAAAGTCTTATTGAAAAAAAAGATAAAGTTAAGAATAAATAAATAGGCTGGGCACAGGCTGGACGTGGTGGTTCACGCCTATAATCCCAGCACTTTGGGAGGCTGAGGCAGGCAGATCACCTGAGGTCAGGAGTTTGAGACCAGCCTGGCCAACATGGTGAAACCCCATCTATACTAAAAATACAAAAATTAGCCGGGCATGGTGGCATGTGCCTGTAATCCCAGCTACTCGGGAGGCTGAGCAGGAGAGTCGCTTGAACCTGGGGTGTAGAGGTTGCAGTGAGCCGAGATTGCACCACTTCACTCTAGCCTGAGCTGGAGAAAATCTGTTTTGTTAAGCAGGAGAATCGCTTAAACCTGGGAGGCGGCGGTTGCAGTGACCTGAGAGTGTGTCACAGCTCTCCAGCCTGGGCGACAGAGTGAGATTGTGTCTCAAAAAAAAAAAAGGAGTCATTTGCTCCTCACATTTGGCCACTAATGAACATTGCCTACATGTTACAGGTGAGGAAACAGGTGAAGGAAGGGCGTGCCCGGAGCAGAGGCCCAGCCCCACTCCAGTGGCCTGGCTCTCCTGCCTGGTTTAGTTTGGCCTCTAAAGCGTCCTTATTACAGGCAAAGTGCAACCCCACCACAGAGAATCCCTTTTCTCTCTGAAGTGCTTATGTGATTAATCTGAAGTCACCATGACTTTGATTTCCTCTGCAGAGGACAGCGGCGTGTTCCAGGAGCGCAATGCAGTAGAAAGCAATCACTTGGCCCTAGAGACCGAGACTAATTTCTGGGAAAGAGGCAGCCAGGCTCCTCCGCCTTACGCAGGTCGTGAAGACTCAGTACACTGAGATTGAAGGTCCTCAGTTCCTAGCTAAGCAAGCCTCCAAGGCCTGTGACATCCCAACCTTCGGACGAGGATGGAGGCGGGAGGAGACACAGTGCTGGCCAGGAGACCTAGGCTTGGGGCTCTGTCCCTGGTCTGGCTCAGCAATCAGGGCAAGTCACTACCGTGGCTGAGGCCAGCTTAGTCGGCAGTGAAATGGGTGAACGCTGCCTCTGCTTGAACCAAGAGCTTGTCAGGCTGCTATGGGAAAATTATATGAAGGTTCTCTGTAACATGAAAAAAAAAAAAAGGGCCTGTTGCATATTTGTCAGGGGCTGGACTTTCTGAGAGCAGGCAGACAGGGAACAGCTGAGCATGCTTGAGGGCTCTGGTGTCTTCAGGGCCTCCGTCACCTGTGTGACACTGTCCTTGGCTCAGCGGGCTGTGGAGGCCCCAAGTGACGCTGTGAACAGCTGGCAAGAGACTTCCCCCAACTCTGCAGCCTCCCTGCGACTTCTCGTCCCTTGTGAAGGAAGGGGTGGCTGCCTGACCTGTTGGTCCTGGGCACTGTCCTGCTCCCCTGGTTGTGGAGCTGCCAGGACGGCAGGACAATCAACACAATGCTCCTCTTCTTCTGTTGGGGACATCACCACAGAGAATAAAAGAGCGTCTCCCTAGAGAGAAATCCTGATGTCTGAAACTTCGGCTGAGTGGAGGAGAAAGGACAACTCATCACATTTCCCCAGAGCCAGGGCAGCACGTAGGAGCTGCGTTTTGAGGGGAGGATGATCCAGGAGAGAAAGGGTGCGCACAGCACACCAGCTGTGCTAGGGCCGGGCCAGGCGGACCATGGGGCCCTGGGGAGCCTATTGCCCCCACCAGCAGCCTGCTGCTGTGTGCGCCACCTCCCAGGTGTTCGGCTTGGTTTTAACCTAGGAGTTGCCAGGAGGAGCTGTGCAGATGGAATTAAGGTCCCCATGAGCTGATCGTAAGATGGGAGACTGCTGGGGGCCTGAGTCCTTTAAGGCAGAGAGCTTTCTCCTGCAGGACCCAAAAGAAGACATCAGTGTTCAAAGCATGAGAAAGATTCAACCTGCCCTTGCCCCTGTGGAAAGGGGAGCCAGGTGGCATGGAACAAGGGTGGCCTCTAGGAGTGACCCCGCTGGCAGCCAGTGAGGAAATGGGGACCTGATTCCCACTCCACAGGAATTGAGTTCTGCCAACAAGGAGGAGCTGGGAAGTGGAGTTTTCTCCAGAGGTTTCCGATGAGAACTCAGCCAGTTAGCACCTTGGTCTCCGCTGGGCGAGGTCTGTGCAGAGCCACAGCCAGGCAGTGTGACTTCTAACCTTCAGAATCGGGAGCTAAGGAAGGGATGGGGCTTAAACCACAAAATTTGTGTGTGTGTGTGTGTGTGTGTGTGTGTATGTTTTAAAGAACACTACATAGCAATAGAAAATAAACAAACATCCCCTCCATTAAACTGCACATTTATTGAAAGGTCAGCAGATGTAAATGAGCATATCTGTCTCTTCCTTCCCGAAAGCATTTTTGTTTGTTTGTTTGTTTGTTTTAGAAACACAGTCTCACTCTGTTGCCCAGGCTAGAGTGCACTGGGGCGCTCTTGGCTCACTGCAACCTCCACCTCCCTGGTTCAAGTGATTCTCCTGCCCCAGCCTCCTGAGTAGCTGGGACTACAGGTGCGCACCACCATGCCTGGCTAGTTTTTGTATTTTTAGTAGAAACGGGATTTCACCATGTTGGCCAGGTTGGTCTTGAACTCCTGGCCTCAGGTGATCTGCCTGCCTTGGCCTCCCAAAGTGCTGGGATTACAAACATGAGCCACCATGCTGGCCCTGAAAGCATTTATTTTGAAACAATTTCAAACTGAAAAACACCTCTATCCCCTTCTCCCACATTGACCAGTTGTCTATGTATTTGCTAAATAATTCTGTGTGTCACGTGCAAGTGCATATTTTTTTCTGAGCCATCTGAGCCCATTTACCCCTACAAATGAACATCAAGCCCATTTACTCCTACAAAGAAAGATATTCACTTATATAATCACATAAAAAATTCAACCTTGAGGAAATGTCTATTCTATAGACCTAATCTGAAGTATGAATATGCCCACGTTACAGATGGACAAACTAAAGTAGAAAAGTTACATGCCTTACCCAAAGCCACACAGATGGTAAGTGGCAAAAGCAGGTTTCACTTTGAAATCCCGGGCTCTTTTCCTTGTGTTCCATCTGTTTCGATTGGGGTCCAGTCGGAACAAGAGAAACCACTATGGGTGTTTCAAAGAGCAGAGATTTAATAATATAGGAAGCCCTGTAAGTGTGGGAAGCGACAGCCATTCCTTTGGGGGACTCAGAGAGAGGAATGGTGTCACCCAACAGCCCAAGAATGTGCTCAGCACCCCAGCTCTCAAAGCTTCAGGAAAGGGAAGCCCCCCTCCAGCAGCTGCTGGGCAGGAACCCAGAAGCGGCCTCCTGCACCCCAGGCTCACCTGCCGGAGCCTGGAGTCAGCAGCTTCCCATCACTGCTCGAGCGAAGTGGGGGTCTGAAATCACAGCTTTGCCGTCAGCTACTGGGGGACCTGCACGAGTCACTGAGCCTCCAAATGCCGCATTCCTCTGTAAAATGGGGCATCTGGTTTAGATGAGCTGTAAGATTCATTCCAGTTCTGAAATGACTAATTCTTCCCTCATTGTGTTCTTTGACTTTGAACAACTTATGCCTCTGTTTTGCACCTCCTCTTTTTCAGTATCTCATGTAACACTCACAACCACCCTGGGGGTAGGTGTTGTTATTGTCTCCACTTTACAGATGAGGAAACTGAGGCACAGTGAGGCCAAGGAGCTTGCATATGAAGTCATATAGCTGTGAGGGGTGGCAGCCCCCAGATTATGTCACCAATGCAGCCTAAGACACGGCAGAAAATGCTTCAGGGATGAGGCCAGGTGTGGTGGCTCATACCTGTAATCCCAGCACTTCGGGAGGCCAAGGCAGACAGATCACTTGAGCCTAGGAGTTCAAGACCAGCTTGGGCAACATGGTGAAACCCCGTCTCTACCAAAAATACAAAAAATTAGCTGGGCGTGATGGCACATACCTGTGGTCCCACCTATCTGGGAGGCTGAGATGGGAGGATCACTTGAGCCCAGGAGGTTGAGGCTGCAGTGAACTGTGATCATGCCACTGCATTCCAACCTGGGCAACAGTCCTGTCTCAAAAAAAAAAAAAAGAAGAAGAAGAAGAAAATGCAGCAGTGACAAGAAACTCCCGGTCACTCAGCACAGGCTTTTCCTGAGGACAGAGATGTGTGGTGAGAGCCTGTACAGCCCTGCCTGTAGAACAAGAGCTGTTCCATCTCAGCTTCATCTAGAAAGGCGATGTTTCCTACAGATTTTCGTTTTAAGCGTGGAGCAGAGGACCATACTGTATAAACAGCAAATCAGGAAAATTAAGCATACCGTTTTAGTGAAAGAAAACTGATTTTTCTTTCTTTCTTTCTTTTTTTTTAAAGAAACGCGTCTCTCTCTGTTGCCCAGGCTGGAGTGCAATGGCATGATCATGACTCACTGCAGCCTCAACCCCCCAGGTTCAAGCCATCCTCCCTCCTCAGCCTTCCCAGTGGCTGGGATTCCAGGCGTGCACTGCTGCCACACCCAGCTAATTTTTAAAATTTTCTTGTAGAGATGGAATCTTGCTATGTTGCCCAGGCTGTCTTGAACTCCTGGCCTGAAGTGATTCTCCTGCCTTGGCCTCCCAAAGTGCTCGAATTATAGGCATAAGCCACTGTACCTGGCCAATCTGAGAATGCATCCTCGTGGTTAAATGACTTATGACTTTATCCTTCACTCAGATTCCCTAAATGTCACATAACCACAGCACAATTATCAAAATGTGAGAATTAATAACTCTGTAATAATAAGTTAAAAATAATTAACTTGCATGTCATCAACTGTCCTATGAATATCCTTTTGCAGGTTCAGGATCAGTCTAGGGGTCCCCCAGTGCGGTTGTTGGTCATTGTGTCTCTTCAGTCTCCTTGAATGTGGAACGCTTCCTCCACCCTGCTTTGTCTTTCCTGATTTGGACATTTCTGAGGACGTCCTGGCTGGGTATTTTGTTGCACCTCCCTTATTTTAGGTGTCTCGTGTTGCCTTTAGATTAGAGTCAGGGTATGCATTTTAGGCAGGAATACCACAGATGGGACTCGGTATCCTTTTCTATGAACTGTGTCGGGAAGGACGTGACGTTGATTCCGCCCATTCCTGGTGAGGTCTGCCAGATTTCTCCCCTATAAAGTTACCATTTTCCCCTTTGTAATGGATAATTATCTGGTGGGGAGATGCTTTGAGTCTGTCCATATCCTGTTTCTCATGATATTTTGCCCACTAATTTTAACATCCACTGATGATTCTTCCCTGAAACAAGTACACTGTGGCATTTGTCAAATGGTGATTTTTCTAGTTCCATGATTCCTCCTACATGTATTGGTTGGGGATTTTACTGTAGGGAAAAGCTTTCTCTCTCCCCTCATTCATTCATTCATCTATTTATTTAAATCAGTATGGGCTTAAGATTCTTCTTTAATTCCATGGGTCACAATCTGTCTACTACCATAATTTATCTTGTTCTTCAGACTGTCCCAGAAGAGCCCCCTCAGGTCAGCCCTGGTGTCTTTGGGACACGTCCCCATCATTTTGGGGCACCACAGATGCTCCCAGATCATCTTGTGCTTTCCCGCCCTAACCCTCTAACCCTCTGAAGTCTCCTGGTTCCTTTAATTGCAGGATGGTATTCAGAATGCCAAGACCTGGGAGGTAGATGCACTCATTTACTTTCTTTTTTTTTTTTTTTTTTTTGAGACGGAGTCTTGCTCTGTTGCCCAGGCTGGAGTGCAGTGGTGCAATCTTGGCTCACTGCAAGCTCCGCCTCCCGGGTTCACGCCATTCTCCTGCCTCAGCCTCCCGAGTAGCTGGGACTACAGGTGCCTGCCCCTGCACCTGGCTAATTTTTTGTAATTTTAGTAGAGACAGGGTTTCACCGTGTTAGCCAGGATGGTCTCGATCTCCTGACCTTGTGATCCTCCCGTCTCGGCCTCCCAAAGTGCTGGGATTACAGGCGTGAGCCACTGCGCCCGGCCACTTTCTTTTTTTCTTCTCTCTTTCTTGTTTGCTTGCTTCTTGCTTCTTTTGAGACAGAGTCTTGCTCTGTTGCCCAGGCTGGAGGGCAATGGTGCAATCTCGGCTCACTGTAGTCTCTGCCTCCTGGGTTCAAGTGATTCTTATGCCTCAGCCTGCTGAGTAGCTGGGATTACAGACGTGTGCCACCACGCCCAGCTAATTTTTGTGTTTTTAGTAGAGACAGGGTTTCACCATGTTGGCCAGGCTGGTCTCAAACTCCCAACTTCAGGCGGTCCACGTGCCTCGGCTTCCCAGAGGGCTGGGATTACAGGTGTGAGCCACTGCGCCCAGCTTCATTTACTTACTTTCCATGTTCATAGTTCTCTCCGATGCTGTGGATCATGAATCCTTTCACAGTCATATGCATGTGCGTGCACACACACACAGGAATGGTCCAGGAACCCATGCCCAGCAGGTGGGGTTTCTCTCAGCAGCGGTGTCCACCCAGGCGCCCCCTCCTCCTCACTCCTCTTGGAGACCACAGCTTCCTATTCACTACCCTGGGGCAGTTAAAGCAGCCCCGCCCTGCTCCCAGCTAAAAATAATGACGATAATGGCAATGATCATAATGATGAAGATAATGTTAATATAATAATGATTATGATAATGATAATACTGACGATAATAACAATAGAAGCACCCATTTTTTAAGCTCTCCTTGTGCTGCATGAACAAAACATTGAGGCTCAAAGAGCATTTTTCACACAGCATAGGAAGAGACCCAGCAGGGACTCAGACCCATCCCAGATCCCTCAGCCTTCTGGCAAACTCCAGGGAGATGGGAAGCTTGAGGCGGGGGAGCCACACCACACGTGGGCCGTGACGTGTGAACCGCCAGGCAGTGGGAACGGCTCTGGACTCTCACGTGGGGGGTGTGGCAGAGGCCTGGGGGTGGGCTCTGGACTCTCACGTTGGGGATGTGGCACAGGCCTCAGGTGGGCGTGGACAGGACAGGCATCGGCCTCAAGTACTCCGTGGACCTAGCTGGCCCTGCACCCGGCATTCCTTCACACGCGTTCTTTTTTGCCAGCGGCCCAGCCCGCATCAAAGGATCCCAGCGTGCTTCCCAAAGCCTGGAATTCCTTTGCTGGGAATGGGAGACAAAGCCGTACATTCTATCATCAGAGAGGAAAGGCCCAAAATGCAAACACACGGCCAGAGACGCTGCTGCAGGCAGGAGTTTCCGAGTAGAGAGTGTCAGATCCCCTCCTACTGAGTGTCACCCTCCCTTCTGAGACAGCATGGGAGCCGTCAGCCTACGAACTGCAGAGAACTCCGGGAAGGAGCCCTTTTCTTCCTGCAATGAGGACAACCAGAAGCTGTGGCCACGGCACCTGCGGTCCCCGGAGCCTGGGCACTGACGTGAGGGAGGAAGGCGGCAGCTCCCTTTCCCCCTGCCCTGGCCACAGGAACCTCAGGATTGAGAGCTCATCTGCAGGTAGGTCTGCCCAGGGAGGGGTCCTTGTATAATGGGTCTGAAGCCCCTGGGGCCCTAGGGTCCCTACCCTAGGTCACCTGCAGGCATAAGTCGCTCCTTTCTCTTTAGCTCTCAGGTGTGGTCAAGAAGTAGTGGACTGAACTAAGCAGCATAGTGGTCAGCATCACCTGGGACTCCGCCTAGAATGCTGGAAATGGGCATTCTTGCCCCCCACGCCCACGAGACTTACTGAGTTAGAAACTTGGGGTAAGGGCTGGCAATCGGTGTGCCCAACCCTCCAGGTGGGTGGTTCCGATATCTATTCAGGCTTGAGAACCTTTGTGCTCAGGACGTCCGGTTACCAAATCATGCCACTTACGGTGACCATTCTCAAATGATGACCGAAGGAAGAAAGATGAGGAAGACTTGAGCCTGGCCGGGCAATCCTTGGTTTCCTCACGAACCCTTGAGATCGGGTTAGATTTTGAACACCACTGGGACGTGCTAAGAGCTTCTTTGGAGCAGAGCAGTGCTCACATCAATAGTCCAGCAGACTGAGCACGGAGATGTCAGCAGACACACTTGAAAGTTTGGTGAGTAATAATGAAAGTACTCAGTTCTGGGACTCATACTATATTGTTGACAGGTCTGGGAATAGAGTCTCAACTTAAAATTACTTCAGATCTTTTCTCCAGGTCTGAAAACCAGAGGGACCGTGCCCACAATCCCCGCCGTTTCCCTGAGCAGCATGGCTGTGGAGAGTTTGTTGTTCAACCCCGGATGGCTCAGCAAATCCAACGCCCTCTGCCTTGTACTATCGCCGCATGGATCTGCAGAGGCAGCCGTTCCTGCCCGGTGGCTTCGCCTTCTGCGAAGGACAACACAGAACCACTCTTTGAATTATTTGACATTGACATCAAACATAATTGGCTGACTCTGGTTGGTGGTGAGAGAACAAATGTTTCCAGGGATTATTAAACAACCACAAAAATCTGAGAGCGCGGTTATCTGAACATGGAACAGAAACAAGACAGTAACGAGTTCCAATGTTCTTTTATTTTTCTACACAGGATTCAAACGAACTCAGAGCAGCAAGATCAGAATACATCAGTCTGACCTGTTTTTACTCACAACACTTCTGACACCAAGTGCGTGGGTTTTTTTCACACCGACAACCAGTTCCCCAACTCTCCAGACACCAACTGGGTGGCCTACGATTCCATTCAAATGTGACACTAACTCCACAGGCTCCGAGGCTCGGTCCCTCAGGACTGCCCTGAGTTCAGACACCAGCCTCCTGGCTCCAGCCCAGAGTACCCATATTTCTGTCCAACTTGGCTACAAAGTAGGGGGTTTCCTACACTCACCCCTCCATCCCCCCAGTTTCACATTCAGTAACTTGCTAGAACAGCTCACAGAACTCAGGAAGGCACTTTACTGGTACTGGTTCATTATTAATATAAAGCACTGGACTCAGAACAGTCAGATGGAAAAGATGCTTAGCATGAGGTGAGGGGGGTGAGGGCCAAGGGGCTTCCCCATCTTCTCCAGCCTGCTACCCTCCCAACACACCTCCATGTGTTCACCAACCCAGAAATTCTCCCCATTCTATCTTTTTTTTTTTTTCTTTTTGAGTCGGAGTCTCGCTCTGTCACCCAGGCTGGAGTGCAGTGGCATGGTCTTGGCTCACTGCAACCTCTGCTTCCTGGGTTCAAGCGATAATCCTGCCTCAGCCTCCTGAGCAGCTGGGATTACAAGGGTCTGCCACCATGGCTGGCTAATTTTTGTACCTTTAGTAGAGATGGGGTTTCACCGTGTTGACCAGGCTGGTCTCAAATTCCTGACCTCCAGTGATCCACCCACCTTGGCCTCCCAGTGCTGGGATTACAGGTGTGAGCCACAGTGCCTGGCTCACATTCTGTCATTTGGGTTTTTTTTTTGTTTGTTTGTTTATTTTTTTGAGGATTCATTACATAGGCATGATTGATTAATCACTGGCCATTGGTGATTAACTCAATCTCCAGCCCCTCTCCCCTCCCCAAAGGTCAGAGGTCTGAGCTGAAAGTTCTAATTCCAGCTCCCAGCCCCCATCCTGAAGCTGCCCAGTCCTCTCACTGACATCCAAAAAACACTCATCCTTCTGGAGATCCCAAGGGTTTTAGAAGCTCTGGACCAGAAAACAGGATCAAAGATCAAGTATCCAGCCACAGCGCCATCCACCTCTGAGGGCATGTGCTCTGGCCTTACTATGACAGCGGTGGTGGTGAGTCTGATACAGGCAGGATGACGCACGCTTTATCTGGAACCCCTGGCCTTGGACAAAATTTGCCTTCTGTAGCAGGTAAGTCCATGGAGCTAAGTCCATGGAGCTAAGTCCAGGTCCACCTGCCATTGCAATTATGGCAGGGAATATTATAGAGGGAGCTGACGATTATGCCTAACTTTGGATTTGGGGTGCCCTTCTGTTCCCCCCCCACTTCCTGCTCCGCTGACACCCACACCTGCAAAGGCAGTGGCACAGAAGCTGAAGTCAGGGCTCAGGACCCGATCTGTAGCCTGGCCCATGAGCAGGATCTGTTTTGAAGGCTCTACCAGCAGCTGTGTCCCAAGACAACTGGCAAGACACCGTCCCACTCCACAGTGGCTTCCTCCCTGTGGCATCATCTCCCTTCCAAAGAGGGAGGAATTTGGACTATTACCCATGAATGATAGCAGGCTAAGAAACAAATTATGATTAAGGAAAGATTAAAGGAAAAAAAAACAAACAAACCACCCACACCTACTGGCTGTACCTTTCCTGCATGATTTTTGCCACCTCATGGAAAGCGGGCCAATTGATATTTGCATGGGTGTTTTAAATATCAGGAGATCAGGAGATTTGCTCCTGACATCTTTTTTTTTCAAAGTGCAACTGAAAATAGCAGTTTTCACAACAATTAACTGTTAACTGGCTCCAAAGAAGGCCTGCTTTTTAGACATTTGGAAGGAATAAAAGGCATCTTCTCAGATGCTGCCCTTTGCAGAGGCAAGGTCAGTGGTGCTGGGAGGTGACTCCCTGCATTTCCGTATGTCCGTTTCTTAAGTCGCACTATTACTTCCCTTGAGTAAGAGACGTAATATTGAGTAATAGTTATTGAGCTGTGCGTGAGAGACTGTTCCAGGCTCCGGAAAAACAGAGAACAAAAGAAAAAAAAAATTGGCTGCTTTCATAGACACCACACACGAATAAGCACCTAGGGAGTCGGTCAGGCGGTGACCCGTGCGGTGGAGAGAACGCAGCCGGCGGGACGCGGCGGGGTCGAGGTTAAACCGAGGCAGTGGGGAGACCCCCATAGAAAGACGCGAGTTTCTGGGGTGCTCCCTCCAGCCAGCAGTTAATTTCAATTCTGCCGGGCGCGGTGGCTCACGCCTGTAATCCCAGCTACTCGGGAGGCTGAAGCTAGAGGATAGGTTGAGCCTGGGGAGGTCGAGGCTGCAGTGAGCTATGATCGCACCACGGCACTCCAGCCTGGGCGACAGAGTGAGATCCTGTCTCAAAACACACACACACACACACACACACACACACACACACACCCCAAACCAAAACAAACAAAAGAAAAAAAGAAAAAGAAAAAATTAAACAATTTCAGTTTGCTCAATTTGAGTCAGCTGGTGATTTGAGCCTGTCCCCAGTGCCCGTAGGACATAAAAGTAAAAATGGGATGGAATTCCCCCAAGTCCCGTCCTTTGGGAAGGATGGTTCGCAACAACCTGAAGGCGCAAAAGGAGTTGGTTTCTTCCCCGACCAGTTTTCCCCTGTTCCGTGGAGTCCGCAAAGGCAGGCGGCAGCTCCGAGGCCGACAAGTTCTGCGTCTGGGGGGCTGCGGGCCGCCCCTGCGGGACCGGGGGGATCTGGGCAGGACAGGGCGGTCCGGCCCACGCCCCGGCTTCCCCCTGCAGCCCGAGGGCACCCGGAGCTCACGCTGGCGCCGCCCCGCGCTTCCTGCCTCGCCGCGGATCCTCCTCCGCGCCGTGACGCGCCAGGCTTTGACCAAATATGTCCCTTTCCCCTCCCTCGCCCGCCCCGCCGCTCGCAGGCGCCCCGAGCCGCGGGGCTGCCGCCTGGACGTCGTCCTGTTTGGGTGTTGCGGGCCAGCCCCGCGGGGAGCGCCCCCGGCGCGATGCCCTTCAGGAAAGGTAGGAGTCCCGGTAACGCGGCCCACGCCCCCAGCGCGCGCGGGGACCTGCACGGCCGCCTGTGGGTACCCAAGCCTTGGGTCCTCGCCAGGCGCGGAAGCGCTGTGCACCGGGGCTGCGGCGGTGCCGGCTGGGGCCGAGCGAGACGCGCGCCACCTTGTTCCCTCCGCCCTGCGCTGCGCCCCGGCCCCGCGTGCCCCTCCGGATCCTCCCTGTCTCCTCCGGCCCCGCGTGTCCCCTCCGGCCCCGCGTGTCCCCTCCGGCCCCGCGCGTCCCCCTCCGGCCTCGCGTCTCCTCTCTGGCCCCGCGTCTCCTCTCTGGCCTCGCGTCTCCTCTGCAGCCCCGCATTGTCCCTCCAGACCGACGCTATCTCCTCCAGACCCGCGCGTCCCTTCTGGCGACTCCGCGGCCGCCACCACGTGCCCGAGCCGGGGGCGGCACTTGCAGCGAATTCCCGCTTCCCGCTGCGCTCCAGCCCCGGGCCGCGGATAGACCAGGGCCCCGGACCCGGAGAGACCTGGAGGGCGGCGGGATCCGGGGTCCTGGGGGCGGGCGCGGTGCGCTCGGGGTATGGAGAGGGACAGCGCGGCGCGGGAGGGAGGCAGCTCGGGCCTGAGTCCTGCCTCTGCCCCTCCCGCCCTCTGACCCCGGGGAAGTCATTTCAGCGCCCAGCCTCAGTTGCCTCCTGGGCAAAACCGGCGCTTGGATAGGGACGGCCGCGTGAGGATGGGAGCAGTCCCTAGAAAAGCAAACCCCGGCCAGCTGATGAGCGCGGCCCGCCCCCTCCTGCAGGGGCTACCCTCTGCCTTCTCCGCCCTGCGTGCCAGGACTGCCAGAAAGGCCCAGCTACCTCAGGTTCCCTGCCCGCGCCGGGGGGCTCCCAGCGCACTGGACCCCGGTTTACAGGCCGGGTGGTTGGAGGCCCAGCACGGCCCAGAGCCCAAGGCCACCCTCAGCTCAAAGCCCCGGGAGAAAAGTGGGAGCTGCAGAAGTGTGGGAAGGGGGGCCTCGATTTGACTTTAAAATCAGAGTTGTGTGACTCCTGCGGACGGGGTGGGGGGGGTGGGGTTGGCGGGTCGGGTGGGGCGTGGGGAGCCTGGCCTTTCCCAGCTCTGGGCCTGTGCTGTGCCGTCTCTCCCTCCCCCCACCCACCCTCCTGCCTCTCTTCTCTCATAACTCAGAGGCACAGCCAGCTGGTGCTACCGTTGCCTGGAGGTTGTACTGGACTTGTTTTTCAAACAGAGGGTGCCTAGGTATCAGCGTGGGCTCCTGTCGGTGAAGGGGGTGGCTGTTGACTCTCCTGTCCTGTTGGGGTAGGGAGATGGGGGAGGGTGGCCAGAAGGAAGGTGACAGCCAGCAAGCAGGGGCTCTGCCACTCCTCCGTCAGCTGGGCACGTTTAGTCCCACGCCCACTGTCCTCGGTGTCTCCATTAATCCAGGCATGATGCGGCCACCTTGACTCTCTGGGTTCTCTGGAGGCTCTCAGAGTTCTCTGCCCCCCGACTCCGACAGTCCCCCCTGACTGCAGGAGACAGTCATTTATCTCTGACTTCATCACTTCTGCCCACTTTTGTAGATGTGGGCTCTGGTTGGGAAACTCTTAAAAGGGACAGACTTCTGTTTGACTTGTTAGGGCGCTCAGTAGGGTGCCTTATGTGGCAAGGTATTACATAGCCAAGCTGCTAATGTATTGTTTGCATACGAAGATTTTGCTTTATGACAACGTAGTTTAGTGCATTATTAGAGCACACGGGACAAAACATTTGCAAACTGCCAACCACGGTAAGCTTTGGTTTTGTTGATTATTGTTATTATTGTTTAATCTGAAGAGACTTTGCTGCATGAAGAGGAAAATGTTATCCTTCCATTTGGCAGATGCTCCTTCCGGGGGTCCCAGGGTATAAGAAACAGACTTGTGTGGCATAAGTGCTGTCTGCATTGTCCAGACGCGCTGGTGTGGGCCAGGGCACAGGCTCTTGGAGGCTTTATCTAGGCAGAGCTTCCCCAGTTGCAGATGGGAGCTCTCACTTAGAAGTAAACACAGCAAGTGGGAACTGCAGGGAGCCAGGTCGCTGCTGGATTTGGGGCTGAGCCGTGGTCTGAAGCTGCCTGGAGGGGAGAAGGTCCTGTGAGGGACAGCAGGGCACCTCAACTCTGCACTGTTGGGAGGTGCAGGAGATGCCAGTGCAGCTACTTTTCTGTATTTTTTGATCTTCGAGCCATCTGAATGTGTTAACTCTTCAGAAAAGTAATTTAAAAATTGGGAAATGAAAAGACTTTGCTGCTGTCCTCCCGAAACCAAGAGAAGCCATCTGGAGAAGGTATCCTTTGCGCGCTGGAAGCCGAGCAGGGGCAGCTGGGATTCCTTCCCCAGGATGCACTTCTGCCTCTTGACAAGCTTCAGACTTTGGGATCAGCTCCGTCAGGGGCCCGGCGGGTACCAGGCAAGTCAAGGAGTTTAAAGATGGGGAGGTTTGGGTAGGAGATAGGAAAACCTTAAGGGATAGTGCAGAGCCCTGGGCATTAGCACCTCGAGGTTTAAAATGTCAAGTGGCAGAGCCGAAACTAGGGACAGCCTGACAGGGACTGTGTCGGAGGGGGCAGGCAGTGTGTAGCCTGCAGAGAGGGAGCTGGGAGAATCCCCACCTAGACCTCACTCCTTCCTCCCTCTGGTCTCTCAGCTTTGGCAGCCAGAGGGCCGGGGAGCCTGATGGAGTGGTCCATACAGGGGAGCCTGATGGGGTGGTCCATACAGGGGAGCCTGATGGGGTGGTCCATACAGGGGAGTCTGATGGGGCGGTCCATACAGGGGAGCCTGCTGGGATGCAGAGCTGGGTGAGTTTCCCTTTTGGAGGAGAGAGGGTCTTCAGGGCACAACAGAGAAGCAACCAAGGGTCTTAGGTGCTGGTCCTGTCCCTCACTTAAGGGAGGAACTAGCAGACAGCTACTGAATGTAGTCACGGAAAAGGTGAGTGGTTGCATGCCACGTCATTCATTCATTTTCTAGACTGGGCACTTGCTATGCACCAGGCCACGCCAGGTACCAGCTGAACAGAAAGACATGGCATCTCCTCCCAGGAGCCCACCTTCTGTGCTCTCCAGCAAGTGCCGGGGAGGGGAGTCAGAAGTCCCAGTGCAGAGTGGCTCTCAGTAGGAGGCCCCACCTGAGGAGGCTGAACTCCGCATTGAGGAGGTGTGGCACTGGTTGACCTCCTGGACTGTCACACAGGCTGTGGTAGGGTTGGTGCCATGGTGCTGGCTAGAATGGAGCCAGAGGGACTTAGACCTCATATTCCACCTGTCCAACATGGACCGCAGTGTATGGCACATGGCAGGCAGGAACCGTATCAGGTGGGTGATGGCTGCATCTGGGTCGTGTCCCTATGCTCAGCGCGAGGCTGAAGCAGCAGCTGGCAGTGGCAGTCGCGGCCCAGGTTGGGGAAGGATGCCGCAAGCATTGCGTTCAGGGCTCACAGCTCTTCCTGTGGGTCTCCAGGGTGATGGTGGTTAGAGTGGGAGGAAGGTCTGCGTCTTTGGCCAATCTGTCTAGAAGAAGGAGAAGTTAGTATCTTGATGTGAAACATAAAAGAAATTCATGAGAAGAAAAGGAGGCAGGAAGCACTTCAGCTGGACATGGAGAGAAAAGTCATGCATATCATGACTAACTTTGGGAACCACAATGGAGGTATGCTGGGGCAGTTCTTCCTGTGCAAGAACTTCTCTCCTTAAAAATCAAATAGATGGGCCGGCGTGGTGGCTCATGCCTGTAATCCCAGCACTTTGGGAGGCCAAGGTGGGAGGATCACTTAAGGCCAGGAATTGGAGACCAGCCTAGACAACATAACGAGACTTTCTCTCTACCAAAAAAATCAAAAATCAGCTGGGGGTGGTGGCGTGAACTTGTAGTCCCAGCTACTCTGGAGACTGAGGTGGGAGGATCGCTTGAGCCCAGGAGTTCAATGCTGCCGTGAGCTATGATTGCACCACTGCACTCCAGCCTGGGTGACAGAGCAAGACCCTGTCTCTCTAAAGAGAAATAAATAAATAAGATAGGTGGTGTAGACGGTGACTCATCTCAGGTGATGGAGGCGTGGCTCTGCTAGGAGACTGTGGTCTTGAGCAAATTGTCGAGGTCCTTTTCAAGTCTAGAATCCTGTAAAAATGTCTTCAGACAGCAGTGTTCCAAGGATTCTTGCACATTCCACCTTCAGAGGGACAAGGGAATAGCAGGTGAAAGTTCTAATAATAAATAACAATAAGGCCAGGTGCAGTGGCTCATGCCTGTAATCCCAGCATTTGGGAGGCCGAGGCAGGTGGATCACCTGAGGTCAGGAGTTCGAGACCAGCCTGGCCAAACATGGTGAAACCCCGTTTCTACTAAAAATACAAAAATTAGCCAGGGATGGTGGCAGCTGCCTGTAATTCCAGCTACTTGGGGGACTGAGGCAGGAGAATCACTTGAACCCAGAAGGCAGAGGTTGCAGTGAGCTGAGATTGCGCCACTGCACTCCAGCCTGGGTAACAGAGTGAGATTCCCTCTCAAAACAAACAAACAAACAAAACCAATAAGATATAAAATGCACTGTGTGGGATGTGAGGGCAATCTGGCTGTGACATCTGTCACCCCCGTAATTGCCAGGGTTGATTTGGCTGATCTAGCTGGCTAGGTGGGTGTCCCCTTCCTCCCTCACCACTCCATGT